GACCATGCAATTTGAGTACACAGAAATACGGCATACTCTTCATTCAGTGTAGTTTTAATTTTTCTTACATGATTTTGTGCTGTGTGATGACGGCTCGTCCTTCGTTGTCTAAAAGCTGCAGCTCCTCATTTGAAAAGTCAGACAGGTCACCATAGGATCCAACAGCACCTTGATGGTTGGTCAGCAGGCCTGTGAGACCTTCCTCAGCTGCACATGGAGTGGCACTGTCCTGACAGTAAGTGGCAACCCCTGTGCACATCAGAAATGGGATGTGAACTTGTTTACATAGAAGTATTAGTATTTATAGAGCAGTAGACTAAGGTTAAGGGCTTTCTTATTCACCAGTATCTGTGTAAGTAAATATTAGTGGAGTTTATGGCAGAGAAATAACAATGCAATAAACCTGAATAGCCGCTGCGTCCTCGACTGTAGCTGAAATAGGAGTTGTAGCCGTCAACAATGGCAGTCCTTTCATCCAGCAGGTCTCCTGGGAAGCATAAATACAGGTTCAACCTTTTATTGTTTGCAAAACGGTGTACTGCAGGAGACAGCGCTCCTGATGTTTTTTTTCTTCCAAACTTACTTGTCACTTTTGTCTCCTGAACACAGACGATATCTGCGTCCAGACAATCAAGAGTCTGTTTGATCCCGGCTTTAAAAGTCCTTATACCGTTTATGTTCCAAGTGACGACCTTCATGGTAAAATTAAACCAAAAAAGGAGTCCTTGCAAAAAAAGCGGCGTGCAAAGCCGGAAGTAAACAGGATATGACGCGAGCACAAGCGGAAGTCTTTTCACTTCAGTTTGTTTAATGAGCTACTATTTATTAGGTTCAGTATTTTGACTTAAAGCTCAATAAAAGTATATATTGATGTCGCATACTGTATTATCTGAATATAGACAATAAATTTATATGCTTCTTCTTGTTCTTTTTTTTTTTTTTTTTTTTTTTTTGCTTGTGCCTGCAGTACCTCACTGTTGCGCTAGAGGGGACAATGCGTCATCACGTTTTTGGCGCGCGCGCTTGCCCACTCGACCTCGACGTGAGCTGTAGGGGTGGGAGGAAGGGGAGCGGCTGCACGCCAGACTGGGCTTGTACGTACCTACGGTAACTAGCATAGAAGACCGTTGTAGTTGACAGGTCCTGAGGGAGGGGGGGAATTACCGTTTTCTGGCGGCCCGCGAGCTCCGTTTTCGGTCTGAAACATAAGGTGAGTGCTAATGCTAGTGATGGCTGTCTGTCCAGCTAATTAGCTTGTCTGAGTCGATTGACTTATTATGGTGAGAGAGCAACTCCGTGGTTCAGCCGAGGATATTTTAATCTATTATCTTACAACACAGAGAACACAGCAAAATCCTTGTAATATTCTTGCTTGTAAGTTAGCATTTTTGGTTTTACTCACTGTTTACGTCAACGTTTGAGCTAAGCTACTGATGCTAGCTGTACAGTCAGTGTCCTGTTTCCCTGCTCGGTGTCGTCTTCAAGCATCCCTGTCAGGATGAGTTATCATTTTCTCTTCGGTGGCATTATATGGTATTTCACGAAGCATAGGCTCTAAAACATTTAGTTGATGTTGTGATATTCTTTCGGGATGACTAGTTAGTCCTATCGTTTGGCACAGGACAAACATGTGGTCACGACGACATGGGCCAGAATCGTCTCCACCCTGCCAATAGTATTGATCAGAGTACAGTAACACAAAGCCGTGATGTTTCTGAAGCTTGTTGAAGCAGGACAATCAGCTGTCGTGTAGTTGAACAGTGAACACCTTATAATAAGCAGATTCTGTGTGGCTGATTGAGCACAACCTCGCATCCTATTGTAATAAATAATTGATGTTATTTGTGTGGAGCTAGGGCTTCATTCACAAGTTTTAAATACTGTGATGTGCCCAAAAGACTAGTTTGCTGTACTAATTGCTGAGCCAAAACATTTGTTTTACCTGACAACAAAAGTCCAGTCAGGACTGTAATATGATCTTCACTTTACTACCATTAGACTTGGTTTTGTGTTCAAGTTCAAAAATCATTATTATTCCCAAGGGGCAATTTGTTTCACAGTCAGTAGGCACATAAAACATCCATACTAGACAAGACATTAAGAAATTAAAATAGCAGTACTGAAAGTAATGTTAGCCATTTGAACGTTTGCACTTGTGTATTTTTTACAGCACAGCCTGTCCCTGTGTTAGTTGTGCACTGTTAGTGCCACCCCATGTTTTCAAAGAAATCTTGACTATAATTCTAAATAGTTTGTAAGATAACCTTAACACATTCCCTCACTGTTTTGTCTCTGCAGGGTGGTGTCATGAGCCTGAAGGAGTGAAAGAGGCAGGTGTGTCAGTGGATTTTAGACAAAGTTGGAGGCCAGACAAGGATGCTGGAGGATGATACAGACCCAGCAGGCGAAGAAGTAGAGGGAGAAGCAGACATGGGGAGCAGAGACTTGAAGTCTGAGGTGATGCGGCTGACTCTGGAGCTCCAAGAGGCCACGGAGGAAAAGCTGCAGGCAGCCCGCTATGGCCTGGTGGTTCTGGAGGAAAGTGCTGCCCTTAAGGGGAAACACAGGCAGCTGGAAGAGGAGCATGAAACTCTAAAACTGGAGCTACAGCAGCTCAAAGAGGTGGGAACTCCTGAGGCTTCACGTTCGTTGTAAACCTGTGATCGTTCACCCCTAGCTTCCAAGTTCAATCATCTGGAAAAACCCCTGCTTTATTTTTTTTTTTTTTACTAAATAAACAATAATTGGAACAAATACTACATTTTACATTTTTATAGTTTCAGAAATGTTGTCCTTATGTATTTTTCTTGAATTTTAGTGTTTAGGAGATGCCTTGCATTTTATTTCAGCCATCTTGCTTCTAAACTATGATATGAATTTGAATACACATTCCCCTTTGTCCTCTGAGAATTTCTTCTCTCAGATAATAGATCGGTTTGAATTGTGGCCTAAAATTAAGCTACTGGTGAGCATGAATGTCAGTTTGTCCTAGAAAGTCATATGATGTAGGAGGCTGTCATGACCAGATAGTCACTGCAAGATGTGCCCCAATACACAGGGTCACTGAAAGAAGCATCAGAATGAGACTGTTTGAGATGCTCTCCACCACAAAACCATCTATATGTTTAATTAATTTTGTTTACACAAATGTCTAACAAACAGAATTTGATAGGTAACAATAAAGCTCTAAATTGGTTAGACTGATATAGACTATGTGTAAAGGAGGCATTTTTTTTTTCTTGATCTAAACTTTGTCAAAAAGGCATCAGACAAAGTTTGAAGTATAATTTGTATTGCAACTGTTTCAACAACTTTTTGAATTAAAAAAGAAAATAAATTCCTTTTTAAAGATAGCTAAAATTAATGAAAAGTGTTGGAGAAAAATGATAAACAAAGTCCAACATTGTTTTCTATAACCCCTTTTTAAGAAATGTCCTTTATGTCTGATAGAGGCCTTGAATTTAAAACTTTTCTTTATAATCTTCTTAAACCTAATTTCTTGGAAATTCATCAACACACTGTAGGTTTTAACTAGATTTAAATGTTGTGAGATTGGGCTGTAAATCCACATCATTATGTAACCACAGTGCAGAGTTCAGTTTAACAGTTTGCACAGTTATCCCGTTAGTTTCTATTAATCCAAAATGTAGGGTTCCTGATTTTGATATTTTATGTAGGTTAGATAAACAGATGTGCACAGAGTGAAATGTGTGGAAGTTGCTGTTTGGGTCAAAGTCTGCTCAGCTCTGTCACTCTAATCCTCTTTGTTTTCTTTTGTAATCATGTTTCAGGTTAAACTTGCACATGACGTTAAATTTCGTCTACGTAGTTTAACATTTTGTTCGTGCCTGTCCGCTCTGTAAATGTTTAAAATGTAACGTACCGTTGTTGGTTTGATAACTGCATCCAGTAACTCCTCTTGTCTGTGTGAAGGCGTTTGCAGATTCTGTGAGCAGCCAGAAGCGTGCAGCTGCTGATGGAGAGTGCCGGGAGGAGAGTCTTCTGCAGGAGACTGCTACCAAAGAGGCTGCCATGGCAACAAGGATGGAGGAAGTTCAGGCAGAGCTCAAACAAGCACGTCTTGCTCTGAGCAATGCCCACGCAGAGATTGATAGACTAGGAGTGCTTTCCACCCAGCTTAAGAAGGTACTACAGTAAACATTGTCTTATTTCCAAACACCTTTTTATACGTTTAAAGTTTAGTTCTCTTTACGGATATCACGGCGGGGTGTTTCCTGCAGGAGTGTGAGTGTCTAGAGGCAGAGAAGGGTCATCTGAGGGATGAAATGAAGGAATACAAAGTCCGTGAGCTGCGTCAGCTGCAGGACAACGGTGAACTGGAAGAAGAGAACATATCTTTGCAAAAACAGGTGTCTGTGCTGAAAGAAAACCAGGTCAGTTTCTATTTTGTTTTCATTAGTTCCATAATAGCTGTAATTTGGTGGGAGTATGGTTATAACAAATGAATAATACTAAACAAAACATGTTTGTATAAACTGTGCAAACTGGATGTATAGGTCCTATAGTTTTTTTTTTACTTTGTATATATATTTGTATATTATATATTTCAGTGAATTATGTACTGGTTAAAACCCTGTTATGGTTGTTTCTGTAGTGCATTAGAGGCATAAAAACCTTTTAATGTTTCCCAAATATTTGTTTACAAAACCTCACAACCAGTCTGCAAATTGACTACTCTTAAATAAAAAGAACTGTCTTGTGGCTAATTTTGAGATTACGATTAAACCCAAAACACACACGTGTAGCAACGAATCAGAAAAACAATTTGTAAGCTTACAAGTAATGTCATGTCTACTTGCAAATATTTTTTTAACATATTTGAATTTAATTTTTTTAGGCTTTGGAAGACTTAAAAGGCTTTAAAATCATATGTTTATCCTAAATAGTTGTCATTCATTTGCTTTCTGATATTTTTTTAACTACTGTATCTTTAGTGCTCTAAATAGCCTTACATGGAGCTTAATATGTAGTAAGTTTGTAGCTCGGTATAATAAGTAGAGATGTGAGTTTGGATAGCAGAATAAGCCAATTTTTTCCACACAACTCTGACTATACTAATCCTGGTTGGGTCTAAATGTAGCAGAGGTTTGCACATATTAATATATCTTGTGGGTTGTTTTTAAAATAAACTACAGATCATCTTGTGGTGGACTTGCTGCCTCAAAGGTTCACATCTTTCTTTTTCCCCCAGACAGCTTTTAGTGATGATAACTGCACACCAGTGTGTGATTGTATCTTAAACTGCTGAGTTGTCGTTATGTTGTATCCAGGGCCACATATCCTGTGATGACACTTAAAACACATTAAATTAATTTTGTTTTTATCAGAGGCATGTATCGTTTTATACATGCTGTTATTTAAAGATTATTTAAACCATCTGTACCCAGTGGGGCAGAGTCACTCAGCAGGTAAAAGTTCCTGTTTTTTTTTAAGTATGTTTGACTAAAAAAATAACTCACTAAACATTAGTCGAGGATAAATGGCACATGGCTCTTAAGACTGGTATCTCATATTCTAAGACCAAACGTTAGAAGTAGCCTTAACTAAATTGAATGGAGTTGTGATGAATGCAGTCATGTGTTGACGCTTGTTTTGTACAATGCATGAAACGCCATAAAAAATATTAACACAAGTTTTGCTGCTAATTGCATCTCAGGTTGAGTTTGAATCGATAAAACTTGAGCTGTCTCAGAAGAATGAGGAGCAAGACGAGCAGCGGGCACAGCTGGAAGAGGCAGCAAGGCTGAGGGAGATCGCAGAGAGGCAGCTGGACGAGGCGCTGGAAGCCCTGAAGGAGGAAAGGGAGCAGAAGAACAGTCTGCGGCGAGAGCTCTCTGCCTTGACCCTGAACCCCTTTGATTCTGTGGGGAACCTGGAGCTTCACTTGGATCAGCTGGATGACAGCCAGGAGGAGGGCCAGGGTGGACAGGGTGATGGTGGGGAGGAGAACCAGGACGGGTCAGGATCTGTTCCTAGTTCTGCTCAGTCAGGTGGCTCCAAAAGTAACGGGCTCATCCATCGTTACTCCACACCACGCGGCAGCGACGTGTTCCTGCGAGCTCCAGCATCAGGGCTGGTGTCGGACCTGCTGAGTGAACTCCACTTTTCAGACAGTCAGAAACTGAAACAGCAGCTCCTGCAGGTATGAAACATGACGACTCTTACAAAACAATGCTTTAATTATTTTAAATAGTGCTTTAAACTGAAGGCAAAGATTAAAAACTTACTGCTACACTTAGCATGAAGTTTACAGAATGATGTGAACAAAATAAAATGTGTTAATTTAATAAAGTTGTGTTACTGTAGCAAGTTTAACAACTTCTGTTATAAGATTTTTGATTTAGGTTAAAAAAAGATTTTATGTCTGTGCAGTCTGAAGATAAAGCCCAATGTAAAAAAATGGAAATTAGTTATAACTCTTTATTTTGTAAACTATTGAATTCTTGCAGTAATATTTGTTACAATTAAGTATTAGGTTTTTTAGTCAGTACTCATAAAACAGTAATTACAGAAAGCAAATATGTAATAACAATAGGATTTATCTTGTGACATCAGGGCTTTCACATATAAATAAAAAAAACGAGTTTAGTCACATCTACCCCATCATCAGATTTGATGCACAGTATTGTTGTTTCTTTGAATACTTTGATTTTCAGACTGTTATTCATATTTCGATAGAAGCTCTGACTCTTTGTTAAACACTCTCGCTCATTGTTTCTCTAAGTGAGGAAGTTGGTGTACAGTTCGGTCTGTGCGACTTAAGCTGTTTTCTGCCACTTCCTGCTTTCAGCCACATCCGCTTTGTGTTCAGGGAGGAGCATTAGTATAAAATGTCTCCTTCACAGCATGAGCTACTCTTAACTGAGTGCCACAGCTTCATGCACAAATGGTACTTTAGAAAATAAAGACTGATGTTAAAACTGTCACTCTTTTTGTTTGAAGGGAATATATTATTTATGATGCACTTAAGTTGGGGGCAGGGTTTAAAAGCTCCAGCCTAACAGATGTTTTGACTGTGGAACTGAATGAGGTTACATTAAAAATGGATGACGAAAGGGGAGGCGGTGGACAAATGTGTTATAAACTTTCGTTTTTTAATAGGAAAATATAATTTATCTGAACTGATGCTAAAAGAGATGATATTAAATCGTTTTTTGCATGTATGTATTTTCAGGCAGAAAGAGATAAGTCCAGTCTGACTGGTAAGCTCGAGGAGCTACAGATGCAGCTGATGATGTCCAAACAGGCACTCAGTCAACAAGAAGACAAGGTTGGCTCTCTGACCCAACAGCTGGAAGCTGTTCAAAGTACGCAGCATCAGAACCAAGAGGAAGAGGTCAAACAGGAGACGGAGACTGGAGACGACGGTGCAGTCTTTGACTATGAGGTAGACACCCGGAGCAAGGAGGTGCTGGAGGCTCGAATGCGTGCATCTAGCGAAGAGCTTCTGAAGCTACGAGACGAACTGTCTCAAGCAGGAACTCGTTATAACGTCCTGGAGTTGAAGTACAAGCAAGAGAAGGACCGTTGGAGGACCGAGGCCCAGGAGCTGGCTGACAAGATCCGCCAGTGCATCAAGTCCAGCAAGCAAGATCAAGAGCGCATCGGCGAGCTTGAGAAGGAGATCGGAGTCACGCGGAAAGTGGCGACTGATTCTGAAGGTCACCTGAGCGTTGCCCAGGAAGAGCTGCTGGCCTTCTCTGAGGAGCTGTCCAACCTCTACCACCACATCTGTGTGTGCAACAATCTAACACCAAAACGGGTCACCTTGGACTATTACCGTGACGGCGCCAGGGCAGGCGGTGCTGGAGGAGGAGGAGGACGAAGATCACACCACGTCTACTCCCAGCACAACTCCCAGAAGAAGCCTCGAGCCAACGACTCGTTCATCTCCAAAGCCTCGGCGCTGCAGTTTATGGGAGAGGTGGACAGTGCAGGAGCCTCTGGAGAAGCTCTATCTTGCCCTGGATCACCAACGCTGGATTTCAGGGACCCCTCCAATGTGTCCAACTTGGTAGCTGTCATCAGGTGCCAGATCAAGCACCTCAGGGTAAGGTGGTGTTGGAGTTTTATTCAGTGCGTCAAAGAAACACCATTTGTTGTCAGTAATTCAATTCACTTTATTTATACAACACCAAGTCACAACACAAGTCATCTCAGGGCGCTGAACAGAAACATGCATATCCAAAAAAGTTCAATCTGGACAATCAACATGCATATATATATAAAAACAAGTTAATAACATTATTTATCTGAGGAGCAGACTGCTTTGAGTCTCAACTTCGTTGCAGACTCTCAGTAAGTAGTTAAAATTTAAAAATTTAAAACTATTGTTTGATTAAGGAAGCCAGACTGGATGTTCTAGGTAAACGGTTGTGCCTTAAAGTTTTTCCACCTAACACCGTGTACAGACTGCTAATGATCCAAAGTACTGTAACTCCCCTGTCTGTACAAATCCAGCTCCTGCTGGAGACTGAGGCGACACGTGCCCATGTGTATGGGTTTTGAATAGATTGGATTATCAGGGGTCAAAGTTCAGTTGTAGCTTTCACACAATCCTTTGAGCAAACAGCATCGTCTGTAATGCTTGTGTGTGTGTGTGTGTGTGTGTGTGTGTTTCTTTGTATTTACCTAGTAAGGCCCATTTTTACAAACTAACTACATCGTAAGGACCAACTGCTTCTTATGGGGCCCAAAGCCCAGGCTCTTTAAGTATATCCCCTGGTGAGTTAGGGGTTAGGTTTAGGGTTAGGTATGTACTGGTAATGGTTAGGGTTAGGTATGTACTGGTAATGGTTAGGGTTAGGTATGTACTAGTAATGGTTAGGTTTATGGTAAGGGTCAGGGTTAGTCTATAGAAATGAATGGAAGAAAATCAAAGTCCCTGTAAAGATAGAAAGACAAATGTGTGTGTGTGTGTGGGG